GCCTTCTCTTGTACGTTCTCTAAACTTCAATAAACTTCCTCTGTTAAATAAATGTATTTTTTCTTGGCTCCTAAACAGGATTTAAAGCCGCTTGCATCCTTCTGCAGAGGATAGCTATGGATCCTTGATATGCTGCACAGTGAACTGTAAAACAAATGATGTACATACTGTAAGTGTGAATGTTGAACATGACCTGATATTCGTCATGCAAAGCAGTACATGATGGAGCAAGGCAATACTTCACAGATGTATTTGTTTAAAGCATGTTACTGTGGTATGTAACTGTATATAGACACATGGTGCAAATACTGAAAAATGAATACAATGAAACTAACATTTGTAAGACAAATTCAGCAGCCTACTATCTTACGCCCTCTAGTGTATTATACAACAAAAACACACTGAAATGATCCATTCAGAATCCATACCTCCCAACTTTCTGAGATGATAAAGAGGGACATTTTGCAGTACAATGTATTTAGGCAATGGACACACCCCTATCTCTCCCCCACTTATGTGGAACCATTAAGAATTTATATGCCAAGAATGATTGGTTAATTGTTTTTTTTCACCATTACTTTGCCTTTATACTGGCTTTTCCAAATAGCAGACAATATAATTGTTTTAGTGTAGAATAATACTTTTGCCAGTTAAATAGTACATTTTATATGTCTGTACATCATACAAAAAAGAAGGACAAAGGAAAAAGGGACAGTCCCTCAAATTCCTGGACAGCTGGGAGATATGAGAATCACCTACATAAGGGTTTTTAGTTGTTACACATCATTTTATCCTCTGCTTTCCTCCCACCAGAAGACAATCTACATCGATATGTACTAAAAATGCTGACCTCACTATGGCCTCATGAAGTTTGTTTTGAATGAATATGTACACATTTTTGACTCCATTGAAAATGGATTTCCTCAACTCTGAGTAGCAGTGTAAATTCTCAGCCTGTTGGATGTAGCAGACACCTTTATGTATGACTTCACATAGATCACCCAAAACCTGAGCTATTCTGGTATTCAATATTTGACCAGGTTCCTGGTCAAGCATCTGGTTTTTCATTATCTAGCCCTTTCTGCACTATGCTGTTGGCCAGCGAGGCTGCCAATCACAATGATGAGCCAAAGGCATGTGAATGAGGTGGGATCGGGTGTATCCAGATACTCAAACAACATGGTCAAAAATTGGATACCAACATATTTCCCGATTTGGGAGACCTATCTAAAGACTGATTGATTGTGTAAGCCTGGAGAACAAGAATTTACAACATAGGTCTGTATACACTTTTAAAATGTTCACTATGCAGCTCTATCTAATAATGGTCCATTTAGCTTTTTCTACACTGGTAAGCATTCTTTAAAAAAAAAAAAAAATGATGTCCCATTATATATTATTTACTTGGGGATAGGTATTTAGCTATTCTACATTTGGGAGGACTGGCATTTTTTAGGGACTTTCTAGTTGTAATCAGCCCATATGATGACATAAAAACTGTTTTCAATTTGTTAGTCTTAGTAGTGCTTCGTGAATAAGCCCCAACAGCACAGGAAAGTGCACACAAAATCAAATATAAGTTACAAAATTCACTTGTACAAACATAACTTGAAGGGAAAGGGACTCCCCCCCACCCCCCCAAAAAAAAATTTAAATGTAGTAGTAATTTAATAAAATATTGTCAAATTTAATTTTGTAATGGTTGGCAAACTTGTGGCTACATTTGAGGTGATTATCTCTGGAGTCATAAAGCATTGTATGACTGCATATAACTGTATGAAATGGGGTTGGGGCACCAAAATGCTAGTCCCTATCTGTGACTTTGCCCATTTGGGGAAAGATGAAAGGTTCTTTTGATAACCCCTTTAATCTCTTTGCATTTTTATCTAAGAAACATTGAAAAGACTGTACAAGGCCTTTAATTATTTTGCTGCCATTCTTAACCACTGATTCAATATTTCAATTTTTTAACAAATGAGAATCCGCTAAATACACAGATGAAATACATAGAAGGGTTTTTTTTTATACCGGATTTTTTTTTCTGTCCATCCAGTTTTGAGATTTATATATCTCGGACACACAGAACAGCCCTGTCTAGCAGGACACATATGATGGTTCTCCTCTGTAGTTTAGGGCTAATCTCTATGTAACGCAGCACTCCTATCAGTATGTAACTTGACACATGACACACTTCTTCCTTTCCAAGTCTGAGCTCTGCTATACAGGGACTACAAGAGGCTGATACCAAGTCAAATTCAGATACTGTCAGGGACCCAGGTGGGCCGTTCCTCACCAGGCTCGCCGGCGCAGGTATCGGGCACAGGCTCCTCCTCCTCCTGGCAGGGCATCTGGCGCTGGTGTGGCCGGTGCTCGTGCACGAGCCGTGCTCCCGGTGCGCGGTACACAAGCCGCGCTCGCATGCCCGGAAGC